TCAGAGGTCCTGGAGCCAATGTCCCACAGATACCAGGGGATGACTGTACCTGAATGAATTTGAACACCCACCTGTAAGTTTACTGTGTGTTTCTCAGGGCTCTGCAGGGGCATGCCAATGTTATGGCGCCTTTAGGTTCCTAAATGGCCAGAGGAGACACAAGCCTAGGGTACAAGGGCACGGGGGACGAAGGAGTCAGCTTCCCCATCAATAAGCTCCTTTACCCTCTCTGTCCCTGGCCCCCTTGAACCCAATGATGCCTGCCGGGTAGTCCAGCAGCACACTCCCAGCAATGCCAGCAAGCACGCATTCAACCAAACTGCCACCTGCCAACAGCATCCTGCCCTCCCTTCACATCTGGGAAGACTATTAGTAGACCTTCCTAAATTGCACAGGTTTTTAACATCACTAACTGTTGCTTCTGATATATGTTCTTTGAACTTTATCTCTCTTAAAACTTTGCAGCCTTTCCTATCAGAGGAAACATCTGATGGCATTTTAAGTTAAAATGCAAAGAGAAAAAAAAATCACACTCAACACAGTCCTACAAGGATGTAGGAACCCACTAGTGGCCTGCGGTTCCCATTTCCAAAGGGAAAACACACCAGAATGTCTGTCCCCTTTTCCTAGCCACACAAGATTGTCGCTATTCTTAGGACAAACTCTTGACTATCCACAGGAAACCAGCTGAAAGATATACTTGGACAGTCAAGGCTCGTGACAACTTCCTACTTCAATTAAAATGCCTCTGGATTTTGTCAAAAGGGGAGCATTTTAAGTATGAATTACTAGCTTCTAACAACCATCCAAAACAGTGCAAAATATTTAATGCTCCACTTCACTTGTTTTGTTTAAAGCTGATCTTGTGCTCGGAAAGTTAGGCTGCTGTGCTCATTACTGCTCAGCCACAGAGAATGCAAAATCAAAACCATTTTTTATTCTGATGAGCCGTGGCCATTATATCCTACGTGTTCATCTCCATCATAGCCATCATTTGTTGAGGGTCTGATATACATATATATATATTTTGAGGTACTTCAGATATATTGATCCATTCAGTCAATCAGCATGCATTTACTGAGCACCTACTAAGTGCCATGCATCTAATTAGGCAAGTGCAAGGTCATGGCCCCATAGGGAAAGCAGATAATCAAATAAGCAATTACTATGCAATGTGGTAATGCTGTGACGGGGAAAAAGATTACTAAAAATAATATACTGGGCAGTGATTATAGGTCAGATCTTTAGAGCCATTGTCTCTAATTCTCACAACACCCTACAAGGGTAGGTGTCTCCCCGCTTTCCAAAGGAGTGTACTGAGATTATTCCACAGTGCATACTGCCTCTCTCAAAACACCAGCATCTGCATCATCGCTGCATGTGAAATCCCCATTCTGGCCTCAATATCGCAACTGCCGGCCTGCATTATTAGCTCTTTCCGGCACGGATCCCGACGCTGACGCCCATGCTGATGTGCCGGTATTCTATAATACGACACATTGCACACTGTCGGGAGAAAGGGCCACAGCAACACTGAACCACAGGGCACGCCCTGAAGGAACTTACAAGCTAGCCACAAGGAGCAATACAACACTAATAATAATACAAAACAGCATGGAACATGTCACTGCGCAGTCTACAGTCATGGACAGAGTGTCCCAGACAAGTCACAAGGCTCCTCAGAGGGAGAAATCATTGTGGAAGGATTTATTGAGGAAGTGGGACTTGGGTCTTAAGATCATGTAAGGTCAGATAGTGGAACAAGAACGAAGGCTAGTCCCTCAGGAAAGCAATCTACAGAGAGGTGCCCAGGAGGCTCAAAGGTTAGGCTGAACGACGGCCAAGGGTGTAACTGGAGCCTGGCGGTGGGGCAGGCCAGCCTGCAGCTGCCCACGGTGCCAACTGATAAGAGATGCTAGGGCATCCTGGGGCACTGAAACAACCCAGTGTAACAGCAGGCAGAGAGAACTGCATTTACAAGACCTCCTCTCAGAGACTCCTCTGTCAGATAGAGGAGTTCTTTGTTCAGCCTCCTGGGACAGAGGGAGAGACCCTAAAGGGCCTCCTGGAGCCAAAGTCAAAGGTCAACAAATAGTCTTCTAAAGTCTTCCCTTTACTGAAGGGACTTGCTTCTGCTTGGAGGGTGTGCCAGCTCAAGGCCAGAGCCACATCATTCAGAACCACAGTGGAGGCTGAGTGGGTCAACCACGGGTCTCCCATGACCCTTTTCCCACAGGGCTTCCCCTCCCAACGCTGGGAACAGATCCTTAAAGAAGACTGCATTGCAAGACAAGTGATTAGCCTGTCTGGAATACCCACATGTCTTAGCCAGTCCTACAGATAATACCCATATTTGTTTAACTCTTTACTGCAGATAAAATACTTTTATAAGTTAGATTACTTGATTTTCACTACAGCCATGAAGTAAGCACTAGGCCTGTATTTTATAGATGAAGGTCGGAGAGGGGGAGTGGGAACGTGGCCTGTTCCGTGTTGGAAAGCTCGCAGGCTGCACAGCGGGTTTGGGATCAGGGTATCTGTCCAGTGGCCCATCTGCCCTGCCACTGCTGCAGCTATCATAATACTTCATAAGCTTCCTGGCAGTTGTCAGAGAATTTTTACAGAAGTCTTGGGCCGTATACACAGACAGACGTACATATATACATATATTCTTACATACATACGCTCTCAGTTTTCCTAAAAGTAAAATATTAGTATAATATACAGTATAATATGCTATATTATACTTCTTTAAAAACCCATCTTCCCTCCTCTAGCTACAGACTTTAGTCATCTAAACAATAGCTATTCACTGCACTTATAAGGTCAATGAATAGCTACTGTTTAGATGATGGCTAAAGATATGCAGGTAAAGCCCTAAATCCTAGATCTTGGTCTGCTTATAATTCACTGCTTAAAGCTATAACTGGCTTGGAATGACCTTGCATTTGTGCCAAATATCTGCCCATTTCCATATTCTGCTTCTGAACCCCTGCCTCCATTACTAATCTCCCCTCAGTGACAAGTGACGTCATACAAGCAGCAACTTTGCTACAGGTCTATCTTGCATTAGGACTTGCTTTCCAGAAGTGACTACACCCAAGGAAGACATAAGAAATCACAGGACTTGTCAAACTTTTCAAAAAAAATCAATCATTCATCGTTTTGTTTTTGCAAAACCAATAGCAGCGATATAAGATAGATACGTACGAACATTTTATTTTTAAAATAGTCCCAACTCCCAGTTTTTCAGAGCGCTTCTTTCAGATTCCTAGGTCACATAAATTATTTAATAAGTAATTTGTCAATTAGTCTTGCACAGTGGGGAGAAAGTTACACACAGAAATGTACACAGAGCCAAAAACAAAGCGAAATGCTAGTGACAAATGAACAAACCACCTCCCTCATCATCACGCCCACGACATGAAGATCACAAACTCCCCTTGCCAGCCACGGAGAGGCCTCATTTTTTTTTTCTTCTTTCTCATAACACATAATTGTATCAAAAGACTGTAATGAAAATAAGGTCAATAGACTTTATCCATAAAAGAATCATCTCATCTAATTTTAATCACCTCTCTTTATAATAAAATGTATATAATCAGGCCACACTATACAAATGGAATTAAAATTTATTTTTTCATCTCTTTTTCCCTAGTCCCAAAGGAATATTCCATGTACCACTCGCCTTGCTAAAAACCACAGGAAAATGTGATTTAATTCTAGTTAAACCAGGTATTTCAGCCACACACTCTCAAACCTTAATCTCAAACATATCCATGAAATGTGATTTTTCGAGAGCTTTCCTTCTTACTCACTCACTAAATTTTCAATATATAGGAAACCCCTGCTAAGCACTGGCTCCCTTTAATGTTTTTAGTCAATATTAAACATATAAGGAAAGATTCTGATACAGTAACTTTAAAAATTGCTTTCATTCTGCACTATTATTTCAATTTTTTAAAAATTTTAGTTAAGCTTGGATTTCATAATTCTCATTAGGTAATCTAGGGTGTGGGTGTTTTTAAATTTCCTTTTAACAAGGAAAAAGGAAGCTTTGTATCAGGACATCAGGTGTGTATGGGAAAAATACATATTCAAATACACATAATAAGCACATATTTTGATTTAAAGATCCTTTTGCCTACTTCATTCACAATGCAAATACGCCACAGTCAAATTCCACCAACTGAATTTTCAATTTAAGTGTGAAAACTGGGTTTTCTGCTAAAATAGACCGGAGCTCAACACACTCTGTGGAATACCCAGTCACAGGCAATAGCAATCAGCCCTACATACCCTCAAAGAAATCATTCTTTGTTCACCTAGAAACTGATTTTATGCTAAGAATCACAGCTGCTACAGCAATGGATGTATGCTCTGAATCCAGATAGCCATATTAGACTCTCATTGATTTGTTAAAAATTTAACATTGTAAATGAAACTAAAGCAACCACCAACACCAACTGGGTAATTAAATTCCTGGTTGGAAGTTTCAAATCCAAGTTTCAAAATCCAAGCCCAACATCAACATCTGGCAAGTCTCCATTTGTGACCTACCAACACTTGATCATGTTACACTGAAAATTCAGAAAGAGGGAAAGTTTTAAGATTTTTTTAAAGCCCATTAATTAGTTTGCATACTGTTTAAATCACACATAAGGGCTAACTCCAGTTGCAATTATAATCTTAGCGTTAGTCTCATTGTCTCGAAGGGCAAAGGCTGACAAGAGTTAGTGCAGACAATTAAATCTCTTGATCAATATCCTGTGCCTCGTAAACTAGCAACCAGCTGCTGCCCCCTCTCCACCCCCAGACCCTGGGATCAGGCCATTTATTTCTGGTTCTGGCTCTGGCTGGGTTAGTAACTCTTTTCTCTACAATATGTGCATCTCCAGTAAGGGCGAGGGAGAAGCCTGATGCATTTGTTTACCACCCTCAGCCCCCAACATTATGCATTCCCACAACCCAGCGGCGAGCGCTTCCGCCCCCCCTTTTACCTGCCAAGTTCCTCGCCAGTGTCGTAGTAATCATCCACGTTTTCCTGCCTGAACACGGTCATGATAAACTGTCACGCCTCACCAAAGCCCAGCGCACTTCAGGTCCGCTGAAGGTTCCCAAACCATCACCACCGCTCCTGCGCTTCGGTGGGACCCTCATGCATCAGCCTCCAGTTCTTAAAAAAAAAAAAAAAAAGACAATAATAAAAGGACGCCCCAAAAAGGAAGCGGACCTCCCCAGGGCTAAGACCCGCGTGCCGGAGACCAGGTCTCCGGAGTTGCCCCTCCCCGCGGGGTGCAGAGCGGCACCCTTTGTCAAACCCGTCCCCAACCCTACCGCGCCCGCGCGCGCGTGGAGCCGGGGACCACCGCACCCCAAGGTCCGCGCTTCGGAGCCTGGAGCGACCTGCACGGATCAGAACCGGCTCCGGAAGTGACTGGCCTCCCCGCCTCCCCTTTCTCCGCACACACGCCCACCCAGATCCCCACCTCCAGGGGCGCCGCAGAGAAACGAAGCCCTCGCCCGGGCGGAACGCGCCTCGCTGGAAGCCTCCCTCTCCAGCCCGCGGCCACGGTGCCACCCCCGCGCCGCCTCTCGGCTCCTGCGCCTCTCCGGCCACCCTCTCCCCTTCCCTGAACACGGCAGTCCCCAGAGGCACATTCCTGGCGACTCCCTCTCCGTTACCCGGCCGACCCGGCGAGCAGCCGCCCGGGGGAGCAGGGGAGGGAAGGAGCAGCCGACAGAGGCGCGGCCGCCCGCTCCGGGTCCCCGCGCCCCTACACAAAGCGCCCGGCCCGCGCCACCTGTTCCGACCTGGCCCGCGGGGCTGGGGACGCCTCCCGGCTGCGATCGCGCTTCTCCCCGCGGCTAAGTTTCCCTGGCCCGGCCTTCCCCGTCGCGCGGGGCGCTGCCTGGGCAAACCCGGCCGCGAAGGCAAAACCTGGCGGCGGGGCCCCAGGGTGAGGGACCGGGAGCCGCGCGCCGCCACTCACCCGGGCGCCCGGGAGCTCCCCGGGTCCCTCCAGAGCGCTGTCGGAGGCCGACCATAGGCGCCAGCGCCGGGGACGAGCGGGACAGCGGCGTGGGCACAGCTAGGGAGGGAGTGGGGGCCGATCCCACGCGGCGGCCGGGGGGCGGGTTCCGGCCGGCGGCGGGGGGGTTGGCGTTGCCCCTTGGGGGGGGGGACCATTTTCTTGGGGTTGGGTTCGGCGGGCTCTCCCGCTCCGGCTCCCGAGCAGCCTCTTGGCTCCTCGCCGCCTTCCGGGCGGAGGGCGGCCGCCGGGCGGCCAATGGGGACCCCGCGAGCGGGCTGACGGCGCGGCCCACCCACCTCCGAGCGGCCCGGCCCGGCCGGCGCTGCGGGCTCCGCGCGGCGCTGCTGCTCCTCCCCGCTCCGCGCTCCGCGCTCCGCGCTCCGGGCTCGCGGGCGCGCTCTGCCGCGCACGCCCCGCACACACCCACTCGCCCCGCACCCACGCCGGCAGGGCGCGAGCGCGGCGCCCGGGACGCCGGCGCCCCACCTGTGACAAGTCAAGTCGCTGAGCTGCCCTCCTCCGCCGGTTCTTCGTCCCGCAAACGTGTCCTGGGAGCCCAGCGGGTGCCGGCGAGGCGCTTGCCACCGGAAAATCACGTAGAACAAAACAAATCCCTGCCCTCGGGAATACCTTCTGGTGGACAGGGCGGATAATAAATATGTAAGCTAATAAATGAGGTCATTTTAGAAGAGACAGTTCTCTGTTTACAACAAAACAGGTTGATGGGCTAGAGACCAGCAGCAAGGAAGCGGGCCTCATCGGACTGGGTTCCCCTCCAGGACTGGTGGTTTAAGCTGGAGTCTGAAGGCGAGAGGCTGTGCAACCCGGGGAGAAAGCGTTGAGGTCTCAGAGGCTCAATGAAGCAACAGAAAGAAGAGATTATTCGTGCTCTCCAATACGCCACGGGCTATTGATGAGCTGAAACGCAGCTAATCCCAAATGAGTTGGGCTGTAAGTGCAAAATACACATCAGATTCCATGACTCATGAATATTTTCATATTAATTGTGTGTTCAAATGATGGTATTTTGGATATATTGGGTTAAATAAAATATATTATTACAATTATTTTCACCTATTTCTGTTTACTTTTTAAAATGTGGCTGGCTGTTAAAACACAGGACAATTCCCGCGTGGCGTGCCTTAAGTTTCTGAAGATAGTGCTGATGTACACGCAGCCCCCGGATCTACCGGAGACCTCTTATCTTTTTTCTCTACTCACCCCATGCTTCCAAGGATGATTCCCCATAGGAACAGCTAGGGAACCCAAATGGAGAAAAGCTCCTAAAGGGAAATGGACCTTTCTGCCCAGAGTTACAAAAACTGATGCGCGAACCTGCTGAGATTTCAGACTCACCCCATATTTGTTCACATTCCCAGGTTTTCTAAACTAGGATGGTTCAGACTCTCTCTGGTTCAATAGACATTTTCAACTGTGGAGATGTTGGCCTTTTGAAAACAAAACAAAACAAAAGAATGAAGAATGTCCCTCAGGCCTTATGTCAGATCCTAGTCTTAAAGAATATTTTATTTGCTGGCCTGGAGGACGGACACACAACAATGACAGTGGAATCAGGAAGTCTCCAAATTGGAAGGTGGTAACACAAGAGCTGAGTTTGAGAATTATTAATAATACAAAAGGATCTTGAGAGGTGAGAAATACAGTTAAAAATAACAACGACAACAAAAAAAAGTGATTCATCCAGGGAAAAATGCAAATGAACAAATCTACTGGTGAAAAATTAAAAACACAGATGTTTGAGAGAAACTTATAAGTTGCTTACAGATGACTGCTCTGTGGGTAATATATTTTTCTGCAAAATAAATATGAGTTTTCCAGGGCATTTAGAAGCATTGAATCTGTTTGGTGGTTAGTATGTCTTACCTACCCTATTAGACACTGCTGATCACGAAAGATTTTCTGGGGTAGTGAAAAAGAGCATGGAATTTAGAGTCACAAAAATTGGATCTAATGTTGGTTGGAACCATTTAACAGCTGAATGACCTTGAATGAGTCACTGACCTCCAAGCTTTATGTCCGCACTAATCTAGGCAAGCATTTTAGAAAAGGGAATTGTGGTTGTTTAAAAACATGCTGGCAACTTCTTTGACAGTCCTCCAATAGAGGTGGGATCTAGTTCCTCTCTCTATAAATATGCACTGCCCCTAATTTCTCACTTCTAAGAAACTGTAGTGGCAGTGACAGAGAGTAACTTCTTTCCAGGGTTAGAGCATAGAGCTTTAGCGCTTCTGTGCCCTCTCTCTCTCCGCTCCCCCCCCTTCTGGAGCCTTCAGCTGCTGTGGTTGCCCTGGGGCTGCCAGGTAAAGACACACAAGGCCACAGAAAGAAAGGGAAATGTCCCAAGAAGCCAGCTGCCCTATCCCACCCCCACCCCCAGAGATTTACATCTTCTATTTCAGGTTCTGTGAACAAAATAAATGACTGTTACTGTTTTAAGTCATTATTTTGGGGTGGTTTGTTACACAGCAATAGATTAATTTATAAAGAAGTTAGAAAAGTTAATAAAACTTAACTTTTAACACCTAGCAGGCTCCAGGTGGACTAAATAATTCTCCTGTTTAATCTTCAAATAACTCTGTAAATTAGTTGTTATTTCCACTTTATGTATAATCTTCTTAGTCTCAGTTTCTTGGTTGATCCTTTTCATCTGTGGGCTAATGAGAGGAGAGAGAACACGGAGGATTGCACAGGAGGTTTACTTAGGGGTCAAGTTTGAAGTCTAAAACCTAGCCATTTGGGGGGCAAAATGTTCTCAGAGCAATCAAAGTGGATCACATTAACTCAGTTCACCTGTAGGGTGCTTTTTACTAGCATGGCTTTGGTTGTACCAAGGGCTAATATTTGTTAATGGCCCCATGCAGAATGTTTCTACACCTGTAGTTTTAAAGATATTGTTCATTATGCAACTGAGAGCCTCCTATGGAGGCCGTCATATGACTGATCCCAATTCCCCCCAGCACCGAGTGCTAAAAGTACTTGTCTCTTCTTACCAGATTATATGTCCTTTTATGAGACGATGAAAATTATAGAGCTCTTTCTGTTCTCCATTTTGCCTTGGATTCCAGAAAGCATGTGGCAAGCTTGGAATGCTCAGTCCTCCAATTAATGCCCAATGTACCACATTCTCTGATTCAATCCATAAACATTTGTTGAGTGTCCGGTAGAGGTTAGATGCTAGGGATACAGATAGAAAAGAAGCATTCTCTGTCCTCAGCCTGATGAGGGAGACTGGTGAACAAACAGACAAGCAATTGTGCTACATAGAATCCATTGGTCCTCTACGCTACTCTCCACCCTACTCCGCACTTATACGCGGGGAGGCGCAGCTGGAGGATGATTTTAACTTGTTCCTTGTCCTCCGACTGCTGGTAGGTTTGGCCAATGGGGAACCTGGCATGAGGGCAAAGAGAAGAGAGGAGGATGAGGCCAGGATAGTTATTCCTCCACTTCCCTCTCTGCGTGGTTGCCTGGGCCACAGCCAAAGGTCGCTGATCCTCACCAGGTGACATCTTCTCCATGGTTTCTCCTTCCAGGTTTTGGTAACCACTCTCTCTCTTTGTCGCTTCAAGCCTTGGTTTGGTGCCAGCTTCACTAGTACTTACCTGGGTTCCTGCTCCGTCCCTATGGCTCTCCTGTACCTCTCCCACACCTCCTTGAATTGTCCTGATTTGAGCCTGCCACCTCTTTCCTCTGGGACTCTAAGTGATAGCATAAAGAGACAGGAATCTCAGAAGAGGATGGAAGCACACTGGAAGGGCACTTAATTCTGATGAGGGCCAGGAATGGAGAGTGAGGGTAGGGGTGAGGCTGGGGTTTTAGGGAAGTTTCCTGGGAGAGCAGACATCTAGCAAAAAATTTGAAAAAAGATTAAGAGTCCGCAGAATATAATGGCAGACAATGGGGTGGTGGGTTGTGGGGCAGGAGCAGGTGGAGAGAAGGGCATCTAGACAGAGGAACTGCAAGGCTAAAATCCTGGTTGTGAGAAAGATAAGAGTTCATTCAGACATCTGGCAGGGAAATGGCAAGAGATAAATGTGGGAGGCAGAGGATCTTTTCCACCATGCCTAGAACTCAGATAAGAGGAGGGAGATAAACCAAGATAGAGCTTTCAGGTCATTGTCCATTGTGCTGAGCATTTGAGTCTTCACTTGGAAGACTCTTTGATGCTCAGGCTTAGCCAGTGCTAATTTAGCACATCATTGGAGATAGTGGGTAGAGAAAAATAATGAGATGCTTTAAGAAGGTAGAAACCACAGGATTTGGTACCTTGGTACCTGGGGAAAATGACAGAGTCAGAGTGACACCCCAAGTTTTGGTTGAGTGTTTAGGTAGATCTTGCTGCTGTGTAGGCTGAAATACAGGTGGACAGGCAGTTTCGGGAGAGAAGATGAGGCGTGAAGATGAGATGTGAAGAGGGGGCGTCTAGATGATGTCCAGGTGGAGATGGGTAGATGGGTACCTAGGGGATAGCAAGCCACAGGCAGAGAAGTGGATAAGGCCACCTAGGGACAGGGTGCAGGACTAATAAGAAGAGGACCAGTGGCAGAACTCTTGGGAACAGCAGCATATTAACCCAGCAAATACAGAGGGGCAAGAACACCTGCCAGTCACTATGGCTTGTCAATTAATCTGATAAGCAGCTATAAGATTTTTGTTTGTTTCTTGGGCAAAGAATAGGTGGGGCCAGAATGGGCATGACTCATGGGCGGTGACTTAAGACCTCATGAGTACCGAGTGCATCATATGCTTCCTGTGTACAGTATATAGCATACCACGAAGATGTGCTGTCTTTGTGGTCTAATAGGCTCCTAATCTCCTTATCTGAGCTTAACACATCTCCATGCCATTCCTCCATTCATTTACTTTCTTTTTTTATCATTGAATTTAATATTCACAAACAAAATAAAGAGCACACATTATGCAACTCCTGCTGAGCTGTGAGGGTTTGCAGCACCTCTCAGATGCCTTCTGCCACGACCACTCAGGTCTTCCAGCTCTTTTGTTGAAAAGATGACCTCCCTTGCCCTACGAACTGGGAGTTTATGACCCCAGGTTTAAGGCCACATGGCCTGGATATGCCTGACCTCCGTCCATAGACTTGCCCTCTGACTCAGTTTCTTTCCAGTTTTCATGTCTGGTACCCTGTGGTATTGAATGCATTAAATCCTTTGCAAAAACAAAGAGGGTGCAAATAAACACGTAGAAATCACTGACCAGTGACTGAAAGGCCTGAGGAAATCATAAACCTCTGGGGTCAAACGTTTGCTTTTCTCCTTGCCTGATTTCTTTTATGCCTGGCCCAATTTCCTTT